TGGCTCCTTGTAGCACACTGCGATCGCAAAACTCGACGAGACACCCATTTCACCCTCGCCCTTCTTTGTGATCTTGGTCTAACTGTCAATGAACAGGAATCAAAATTAAAACCTACAAAGACTGTACATTACATAGGAATGCTCATAGACTCCACATGAACTCGCACCTTCCTTCCTACAGAAAAAAAACACAAAATCTCATCACCTTACTTCATGGTTTCACTCCTCATGCCTTGATACCTGCTATAATAGTACGAGTTCTAGGCACCATGGCCTCTATGATGTCAGTTATACAACATGTACGTCTGAAAATGAGATCTCTCCAATCCTGGTTTCTGGCCCTATTCGATCCACTAACAGACTCTCCTCAGACTCTGCTAAGAGTCACTCCAGAACTTACCTCTCAGCTTCAGTGGTGGCATTCCCATACCACCCTTTCTATCGGGCGGCCATTCCAACAATCTTGCCCGTGAATACAAGTCACTACCGATGGTAGTCACACCAGCTGGGGGGTTCATTGCAAATCCCTCATGGTTCACGCCAAATAGTCTCACAGAGAAACTGCTCCACATAAACGAGTTGGAGCTACTAGCAGTCATAAAAACCTGCAAAGCTTTCAGAAACCTTGTGGGGAAAATGATACAGATAGCCACCGACAACACGACGGCGATGTACTACATCCTCAAACAAGGTGGCACCCACTCCCCAGGTCTCCTCTACCTAACGGTCAACCTCTGGGAGTGGTGTCTACAACATCAATTCTGCCTCACAGCCTTACACATCACTGGTCAAGACAATGACCTAGCAGACTCACTCAGCTGCACAGATGTCCAAGCTCACGAGTGGGAACTAGATCAATCAGTATTCCGTCAACTATGCCGGAAATGGGGCACACCAACTCTTGATCTCTTCACCTCCTGAATGAATTGGAAATGCCAACTGTACTGCTCTCGAGCGGGGATCGGCAAACACTCCCAGGAGACGTGTTTGTTGGCCATTGGCCCCGAACCCTTACCTACCTTTTTCCATGGTTCCCTCTCTTCCACAAAGGTGTCATCTGTCTACAAGACAAAGCCAATGCCATCATTATAGCCCCTTGGTGGCCAAGACAGACTTGGTTCTCAGTTCTCCACAATCTCTGTCAGACATCCACCACCTCCTCCACCTGCCACACCTTCTCACACAGAGCAACTCCCAAATCCTACACCTGCACTTACCTGTTCTGCACCTGGCAGCGTGGAGGATTCCCCCTCGCTAATGAATGTTCTTCATCAGGCCAAAAAACCATCCACAAGAAAGGCCTACCTGTAAAAATGGAAGAAAATTTCAATCTTTTACTAAATGTTCCTCGTTATCCTCCATCAACCCATCACTTTCCACCATTCTCTGCTTCCTCCTACATCTCAAAACCAAGGCCTCTCCATCTCATCCTTGAGAGTCTACCTTTCGGCAATAACATCATAGTTAAAAGGTAAAGGTTCCCCTTGACAATTTGTCCAGTTGTGTCCACCTCTAGGGGGCAGTGCTCATCTCCATTTCTAACCCATATAGCTAGCATTTCTCCGAAGACAATCTTCCATGGTCACATAGCCAGAGCGACTAGACACGGAACACTGTTACCTTCCCACCGTGATGGTACCTATTTATCTACTTGCATTTTTTTGCATTTTGCATGCTTTCGAACTGCTAGGTTGGCGGGAGCTGGGACAAGAGATGGGGGCTCACTCCATCGCATGGATTCGATGGTTTAATGTTATCCAGTTGGAGTGTTGGACTAGAAAACTAGTAAGAGGAAATGGTGAATGCAGTGAGCTTACAAAATTTGAAGAAATTGTATTACACATTGAAAAGGAAAATGAGCGTAAAAGAATGAAGGGGATGACAAATAAAATTTATAAAATATTAAAAGATATAGAGGATCCCCAAGAGGTTTTTAAGCTGCTATGGAAAACAGATTTGGGAGAGGAAATAAGTACTGAGAAGTGGAAGAATCTGTGGCATTAAAGAATAAGTATGTCTGTAATAATAAAAGAAAAGTTATAAATTGGTTTGGAGATGGCACTTAATGCCAGTGAAATGAAAATTTATGAATAAAAAATACTCCAGATATTTTGGAGATATAAGCAAGAAGTGGAAATCTAGTTCCATATGTGGTGGGAATGCAAATATATGATTAAATTTTGGAAGTTGGTTTTCAAATAAATAAGTGAAATATAAAATTTAAATCTAAGAATATGTCCAAAAATAGCACTTTTACAGATATTTGAGAGGGAACAATGGAAGTAGACAACAAAAGAATTGATTATAAATTTAGTAATATTAGCTTAAAAATAAGAGCAAAGAATTGGAAGGTTAAGTGCAATTTCTAACTAAATCACTGATATAGACAAGTGTGGAATATAGCTATTTATCATAAATTAACATGTGAAATTAGAGTAAGAGAAGTAATGTTAAATAAGAATGAGCGTGGGAATATATGAGGAGAATTTATCAAATTTATGTTAACAAAGGGGAAGTTTGTGTATCTTAACAAGACTCAGTGTACTTCTGGAAGGGGAATGGGGCTCTATAAAAGGAAGGAATTGATTATCTCCATTGGTCCCATGAAGGGGAGCACAACGTGTATATGTAGATTTTTTACATTTTTTTATGTATATTAATTTAAAAAATTGAAAAAATTTATAATGATATGCTGAGGCAACTCATGCCTGAACAGTGTTAGAAAGTTAGTTCCTTTGCCCTCTGCATGAGAGGGCCACCTCTATAAGGTAATGGATTCTGATGGATTTCTCAGATTTCTTCAATGTTCTCTATGTGGGGCTTCCCTTGAGGCTGATCCGGAGACTTCAGCGGGTCCAGAATGTGGTGCCCAGACTGGTGGTGGGTGTGAGCAGATATGCTCACATCACCCCAGTTCTGGCCCGTCTCCATTGGCTACCCGTGGAGACCTGAATCAGGTTCAAGGTTTTGACTCACGTATAAAGCCCGTGATTCGGTCCTGTCATGATATCGAAGGAGAGTGGGACTTGTAGTCAATGAGAAAGAAAGAAAATGGAGTCTATTAGGTTTTAAAAATGAAAGGAGTTGAAGACATGGGAATGTGAAAAAGGCAGAGAGGCTGGTACAGAGTGAAACCTGATAAGGATGCAAGGAGGAAGAGGCCTAGAGCGCAAAGACCCAACAAATTACAGTGGGGTCTCAACATATGAACGTTTCGACTTACGAACTGCTCTCATAGGAATATATGGACTCGACTTACGAACTTAGATTCGAGTTACGAACTCTTTTTTTCCTTTTTTTAAAAGCTAAGTTATCTTAGGTTAAAAGGAAAAAAGAAAAAATATATCCCCCTCTAGTGGCAGAAGGCGGAATAGCAGCTTCCTATTAGTTTCTATGGACGAAAAGAGCAGATACGGATTAAATGGTTTTCAATGCATTCCTATGGGAAATGCAGATTTGACTTAAGAACTTTTCAACCTGAGAACTGTCTTCCAATACGGATTAAGTTCGTAAGTCGAGACCGCACTGTATTTTCTAATTGGAATGGAGATAAACCACCTGCATCTCCATGAGAATTGGGGGTGGAGTGGACAGTTATGCCTTTTTGAGTTAATTGGTTTACAGTCATGAAGAAGGAGGTCCGAGGAATATACAAAAATGGACAATGGGTTATGTGATGGAGAGACCATGGTGTGGAAGAGAACTTTTGCCTGAGAGAAGTTCTTGATGGTGTGTGTTATGTAGCTTGAAGGAAAAAGAATGTAGGTAAGAGAAGAAGGAGGTGGGGCTAGCCCACCTTAGCCCAGTTTTAGTGTTTATTTGTTGTATTTAACTATAGTCATCCTTTGAACATGTCTTTATGCTAATGCTTGAGCAGAAACAAACTGTTTCTATGAAACTATATTTTCTTAATAAAAAATAATTATAAAAATCCATACTGAGGAGTGGTCTCTTGGATCATCAGGGTTTGGATAAATCCAGAGGAGTGGTAAAAGCCATTGACTAGCTACCAAAGAGAAGTCCTATTTAACTGAGCTGATGTGGGTTCTAAGGACTCACAAAGCCCATGTTGCAGCACTTGCAAAGTGCTGAGTAAAGTAAGGTGTTCTTTAATGATCAGGTTTGTTCCAGGCACGGATGCTATGCACTGCTGAAGGTTGAGGACTTGCCCCAGTGCAAAGTGGTAGATCTGTGGCCTGTGGAACTCTGCCCTTAGGGAGATTTGGTTGTCACAGGTCCCATGTTACTTATCAGAGCATCTTTCCCCAATGTCAGCTGCCTGACCCAACAGGTTATTACAGATGAAGCTTCTCTGTTTAGCCACCCCAAGGGAGGCCCATAAATCTACCAGAGGTAGGGTCACCTTTGCAATGGCCCTATCCGTGTGGAATCAGATCCCAGAGGAACTTTGCCTGGCCTCCTTTCTGGTGGTATTTAAGAGGCAATTGAAGACATGGCTCTTTAAGGAGGCTTTCCACTCTGACCCTGGTTGAGTGAGTCAATTTGGCACTTCCATCCAGTCATTTGTTTTCTCTATTTTGGTTTCATTTTTTTTATTTTATGTAGTTTTATTTATGCTCTGGTGCCTTCTTTTTTATATGATTAGATTGTTTATGGTTTTACTGTATTAATTGTTGGATTATGAATTTTACTGTGAACTGCCCAGAGTAGTACCATGGCACTAGCAGGAGTGGTACATTAAATTCGAACAAACAAACATTTTCCTTCTGATATGACTGGCTCTTCTGATTCTTCCATGTCATTCTAGGCTAGTCAGCAAAAGTTTCATAGCAGATAAACGATTAGATTTGGTTATGTTTTGGTAAAAAAGGAAAAATATGATAGGGCTGTCCTCTGCTGTTGTTTAATTCTTGTTGGAAAATACTGTCCTTCCCAGAAACAGTGACGTAGGGCACTTAAAAACTGCCTGTATATGTTGATTTACAAAATCCAGTGTTTGTTGATAACACTTGTTTTTATGTCCATATTCTTATTTTTAGGAGACACAGTGGCATACCAGTCTACAATGGTCTTATCTCGTGCTTTAAGTCAGTATCTGGTATTCCTCTCTAAACTGCCAGCTTCTCTTTGTATTCCACCAGACAAAGAGAGTGATATTCTGAGGTTTGTGGTAATGTCACTAGAGGTAAGACATAAAAATAGCTAACAGAACATATGTGTTGAGAAACATTCTGTCACCACACTGTTAACTGGTATGTTAGAGAGAATCTAAGTCCTAGCGATTTTTGTATATTAGGGTCATACCTCCACTGCGATGATGTGTCTTGAAATAATTTCAAACTACAGTGGTGCCTCGTATAATGAGTGCCCCGTTTAACGATGAATCCGCATAGCGATGCCTTTTTTGCCATCGCTTTTGCGATCGCATTACGATGTTGCCTATGGGGAAAAATCGCTTTGCGATTTTTTCCCCATAGGCCC